TCTCAAAATTTCTATTAACACTCTAGTTTTGAATATTTTATTCTACTTTATCTCAACCCTCGATTATACTTGACTTTTCGACCAAAAGACAAACGTTATAATGCTTCCACCAAACTATCCAATGTGTCATCCTTGCGCTCTCTTCACTTATGCAACTTTTACATGGAAACTTTTGCAAACACTGGAAATAAAAAGTCTACATCAAAAACCTTTTTCCTATCCGGTGGAATACAATCATATTGTGCATACTTTCATACAGTAACTTATATTTGTCATTACTACAAGTATAGAAGATTTTCTACTTTGAATAAAAGAATAGAAACTTAGGAAAACTAGTTTTGATTTATGTTGTTTCCTGGCTATCAATTCATAAATCATGTGTAAACCCCTCCTCCCGCCCCCGCACATAGAGAGAGAGAAAGACAGAGAAAACCATGTTCTTCAATTTGGCCACAATGGATAGCTTCATAGACTTTGTTACCTGGCAATCAATTCATAACACCCCCTTCTTCAATTTGGCTAGAATGGAGGACTTTGGTAAACTTGCTCGCCAGTTAATTTCCCTATACAATTAAACTTGAACAATACCCAAATGAAGTCTGATCTAATCCTAGCACTTTGAACAAGCTGCCAATGACTTCCAGAGAAGACATGTTAGTTAGTAAAAGAGCTATGTATTTTTTATCTTGAACCTTTTTGCTGAATATTGTGTTATTAACTTCTTTTTTCAATTAACAGTTACTTCTTCCTTACTTGCTTAATTCTTTATAATTATTTGTAATATAGAGGCAAGTCCAAGCGTTGATATATATAGCTATGGGGCGACGCTTTTTCAAATTCTGAATGATCCAGACGAGATCAACGGAAGTATGGTGGGCAAAATAAAAGATAAATTGGAAAAAAGGTGAAGATATTGTCACAGAAAAATTGAAGAACAGTGGATGCGACGACCAAATGAGAGCCAAGATAATTAATCTAGGTTTAGATTGCATCCGAAAGCCAGTGAGCGATCGGCCATCCGCCCTTGGCATAGTGAAAAGGTCGTATGCCATACTTGAAAATGTAAGACCACCATGCAAAGTAGATATCAACTATGAATTAGCTTTATCTAAAATCTAATCCCTATTTTTTTTTTTACAAGGAACAAAGTTGAAGGAGGTAAGGCAAGTATCCAAAGGTGCTTGAAGGACATTGATGAAGAATATTATCTTATACCACATCAGTTTCAACTGAATGAATATAGTTTGAGATGATATTTTGTTGGAGCTATAGATCTTTTGACCATATTTAGATTTCGTTTGCGCTTATTTAGATATGTTAGTGTTAGTGGAAGTTAAAATATAAACCCCTTCGCTATATCTCCGAGTGCAACTTTTAGAGCTAACAGTTAATTAACAATCATGATGTTTGGGGCAGCTTATGTGCACTTTGACTAACTCTATTAGGTATGTACTCCTTTGATATCTCTTCGAGGGCAACTTTTAGAACTAACACTTAATTAACAATCATGATGTTTGGGCAAGCTTATGCGCACTTGGATACTCTACTGGGTATATATTACTTCCTACCTATAAAGATATCATGTAACTCTATTCACCGTGCTTAAATAGAGGGATAGATGTCCCCTAATGTATTTTGTCATCATTGGAATTCGAACACCGATATCCCATGGTCTATTCCAACTTGGTTGACCACTAGCTACACTCTTAGGTGCTAAAAATTCAGCAAACTATAAAATACTAGATAATAAGAAAATCCCAAAAGGGTCAGTGGTGCACATTTCAAAACTCAGCGGATAATGGGCTCGCTCTTCTATTCTTCTATACTTAAATACCAAACTTTTGTCTGCGATAGCTTTACAACATATTATATGCACACATCATGTGCTATGCTTTTACCACTAGACTAAAGCCTCGGGGGCTACAAAATACCAGAACCTGATCACGTATATGATCTATCATGAGCTTGGATAACGGTCTCGCTCTTCTATCCTTCCTTACCTGCATACCAATTTTTTGTCCTGATCACGTATATGAGCTATCATGAGCTTGAATAACGATCTCGCTCTTCTACCCTTCCCTACTTACATACAAAATTTTTGTTTGCGATAGGGTTAGAACATACATGCACCTAATCCACACATCATGTGCTATGCTCTTACCACTAGACCAAAGCTCGGGGGCTACAAAATACTAGAACTTGATCACCTTTAGGATCTATTATGCTTTTACATGTTTCCCTCTAACTTGGCACCATATACATGGTGCAGTGCTAAACTGCTCGTAATCCTAATTATCCCCTTAAAACTTGGTTATTTAATAGCCTTTATCCCCCGGACACGGGCACGGCAAAGAGCGTGGACATGCTCTTTTTCACGTGCGTGAAAGCGATAAAAATTCGAAAAGCAAGTGTCTGGGTGGGGTATTTTCCAAATGTTAATCGTGACATATTTATAGATGATGATTTATTTGTCAATTGTGTATTTTTGCTTGCTACTACTTAATATACACTCCATATTTTACCCAAAATTTTCGTTTTTTATTTCTTTAAATGCAATCGCTATTTATTCCAACTATACATTTATATTTTTTTTCGCCAAATGATAGAAGTTTGAAAGTTCATTATTTTTAGCTAATTGAAGAAGTTTTAGTCAAAATAATCGAGTGCCATAGGTGTGAAATTATGATGAGGAAACGTGTTAAAGGGAAACGGGTAGACCTAAAATCACATGGAAAGATGTTGTCTTGAAAGACCTACGGATTCTTGGAATCAATGTAGACTTAGCTAAAGATAAGCCAACATGGAATAGAAAGATCCATATAGGTGATATCAACTAGTTGGGAATAGGTTTTATACTTGGTAGAGAACTTTCAATACTATAATTTATATAAACTTTTTTTACTTTCACCTTTAATTTATTTTTGTAATGATGAAGATGACAAAGACATAGTTGTTGTTGTTGAGTACTTTTTTTTCTTTTTGGGCCAAATAATTAACAAAACCTTGGCTAGAAGTCCGCTCTTTTAACTAAACAAAAATCTTGCTTGCAAACATATTTGGGCGAGATAAAATATATGACAGGGTTAACCGATATTGTAATCATCGTTGATCAGCATGAAGAATATACGGCCTTGTGGAAGTGTATTACTTTAGGAATTCCAACAATTTGTTTAACCGATACCTCAATCTCGCAGATATTTCAATTCCAGCGAACGATGACGCCATATCCTCAATCCAATTAATTCTTAACTAATAATAACATAATAAGATAAATAACTTACTTCAGAATAATAATGGGGTTCCAACTGTGTATATCTTTTTCTATTTCTTCTTTAGATGCAATGACTATTTATTCCAATTGTGTATTTTTTTATTATTTTTCGGACCAAATTATTATTTATTTTTTTAAAAAAACTTGGCTAGAGCTCCATAATTTTTAGCCAAATAAATTGTTCTAGCCACAACAATGGAGTTCCATATGTGTACCTTTTTAATCTCTGTACATGCAATAGCTATTTCTTACAACTATGTATTTCTTTAAGGTCGGATCTATAAAAACAACTTGGCTAGGACTCCATTACTCCATGCCAAACAAATTTTTTTAGCCATAATAATAGATCCCCAACGGCGTATATCTTTTTATTTCGTCTTTAGTTGCAAAGTCTATTTATTTAAATTGTATATTTCTTCTTTTTCGATCCAAATGAAAAGTTTGACTGGAATTCCATTTTTTTAGCAAAATAAAAAAACCGACCTTAATAACGGAGTTCCAACCAAGTATTTTACAAATTTGACCAAAACAAGATGATCTAAAAGACTAACAAAAGTCTAAAAGATAAAAATATATTTTATTAAAAGGAAACGTGCACAAAAAGTCCACGTGACAGCGCGTCTCTCACTTCCTTTAGATGAGACTGTCCCGGGTCCGGGCAGGGGGGGGGGGGGAGGTTACTAGGACTTCTCATAGGTCAAGTGTGGATTGAGTAAGCGGTGCCAAGTTTAGGGAGTGTTAGGGCTGACTCCAACCTTATGTGGAGTAAGGTGTGTGCCTTAGGCCCCCAAATTTAGGGGGCCCATTTTTTTTTAAAATAATAGGTTCATAGGTATTTAAAAAATAATATTTAGTATTTTCAATACAAAATAGAGTTTTTAATATAAAGAAAAGAATACCTTTTAGATATATAAATAAAAGAATACTTTGACTTACTTAAAAATGTGTAGATGAATAGTTTTCATAACTTTTAATTTTTCATTTTTACACCATTAAAAAATTTGCTCTCTCTTCCTTAATTTGTCCAAGTCAATAGTTCTTTTTCTTTTTTTCCAATTCAGAAAAACCCTACATATTTTGTGTGTTTCTCTTTAATATTCTTACTCACTTCTTTCTCCAAGATTTCATTACTCACGTTCTTTTTCCATGATTTCACTAGTTCAGGTGTTCAACAATAACTTTAAGCTTCCAGTAGTTCCATACTTCTATTGCTTTGTAAAATCTTATCTAAGATCAATAATATCTCAAGAAAGATTAGATAGGTTGGCTATATTATCAATCGAGCAAGAATTATTAGAGAAAATCGATTATAAAAAGACTATTAACAACTTTATATCTCAAAAAGTTAAAAGAATAGACTTCAAATAAAAACATATCTTATAACTTTCTTTTAAAAGTGTAGGCCTCATATTAAATTTAACTTTGGCTTTAGGCCCCGTGTGTGCTTGAGCCGCCCCTGGGTGTAATTAGATATTTTGCAACAAATGAATATAACTTCATGACATTTCAGATCTGATAAGACACCTTCTCAATCAGGTCATGCTCTGCTCATTATTTTGAACATTTTATTGGAATGTGCAGTGAGTTGTGGCCTTACTCCCAAAATGTTAAGATGAGACACACGCATTCCTACCTTAGTTAGTTAAAATGACACACACCTTCATTTTCAAGTTATAATGAAATGCAAACAGACCTTCCTTGATAAGTTAAAATGGGACACAAACATACCTTCATTTTTCGTCTTTTTAGTAGACTACACGACCACAATACACTCTGATCTTTCGATAGAGTAGCCAAAGTTCTACCAACTTAGCCCTATGATAGCTCACCATTACTGCAAGGAAATGCATATTTATCACCACTTATTTAACTCTTTATTAAGTCTTGTATGCTTCTTAAAATTACCTTTAAATTCAACCAACTCTGAGCACGATGCTTAGAACTCGTGTCTGGAATTGTATGACCTTGATACTTGTCGAACCAGGCAACATGAACATTAAAGATTAGGTACCAAGGATGTCCGAAGCTGCAAACAAAAATGTGAGTGACTAGCAAAAGAAATATTTCATGCTATTATGGTTAAATAAGTTTCTACATATATGTTATTACAAAAGTTTCTATATGTATATGATTGATCCAATATGATATTATCTCTTCCGTCTTTTGGTTTGATATGGATGATGTTTCTAAAATTTTAACTCAGTTGTTCTTGTATGTTTCTAAATCTTAATTTTATTAGCTCTTGAATGTTTTTAAATCAGATAGAATATTACCTTTATTAGCTCTTGTACACTTCTAAACAAGACAAAATATTACCTTTATTAGCTCTTGTATGTTTTTAAATTAGAGCTTACAAGCATCATCCTTGTGTATATAAGTGTGTCTAGTCCCACACTGAAATACGAATTAATATATGCTACATAGAGTATATCTATAAATAGGACTTCTTGTATTATATTGTGAAATAACATCAATAATATTATTTTTCCGTGAAGAGCAGTGGTGGTCAAACACATTCAGGAACCAGAATACAGCCAGAAGTTCCCGTGCATCAATTTTCCTTCCGGCAACATACCTTCATTTTCAAGTTATAATGAAATGCAAACAGACCTTCCTTGATAAGTTAAAATGGGACACAAACATACCTTCATTTTTCGTCTTTTTAGTAGACTACACGACCACAATACACTCTGATCTTTCGATAGAGTAGCCAAAGTTCTACCAACTTAGCCCTATGATAGCTCACCATTACTGCAAGGAAATGCATATTTATCACCACTTATTTAACTCTTTATTAAGTCTTGTATGCTTCTTAAAATTACCTTTAAATTCAACCAACTCTGAGCACGAAAGTATGCCTTATATATTCTTGAGAGACATGAATGACGTGTTGTAGACCCATTGACCCTCCTATAGATCCAAATACCAAACTTCTGCCAGGACAAGGGGAGCCTCTTAGTGATCCTGCAACATCTAGGCAGCTGGTTGGTAAGTTGAATTACCTCACAATGATTAGACCTTATATTTCCTTCTTTGTGAGTGTGCTGAATTCTTCAGTATATAAAATCAGCCCTAGGCAAATAACTGTTGTTCGAGGATTGAGGCCATGAGCAGATCGTTGGATACATAGACGCTAATTAGGCAGAATCACCTTCTGATAGACGTTCTACTTTGGGATATTGTCTTTTAGTAGGAGGTAACTTGGTGTCTTGGAAGAGCAAGAAGCAAAATGCACCTGCTCGATCTAGTGGAAAAGTAGAATATCGAGTAATGGGTATGGCAACATGTGAGCTAGTTTAGATCAAACAACTACTCAAGGAATTAAAATTTGGAGAAATCAATGAGATAGAATTGAAGTGTGATAATCAAGCTTCTATTCATATTCCGTTAAATCCAGTGCTCCATGAGAGGACTAAACACATTGAGATTGACTGTCACTTCGTCAGAGAATAGATACTCTCAAGAGATATTATTAAAAAATTTATGAAGTCGAATTATCAGCTTGCAGATATTTTCACCAGTTCCTTTACTGGTCCTCGTATAGTTATATTTTTAACAAGCTGAATACATATGATTTATATGCACCGGCTTGACGGAGAATGTTAGATAATTATGTATATAAGTGTGTATAGTCCCATATTGGAATTGCAGTAGTATGTACTACGTAGAGTGTAGCTATAAATAGGACTTCTTGTATTATATTGTAAAAAGATATCAGTAATATTATTTTTCCATGTTCCTTTCCACAGTCTTGTAAAGCTCAAGAAATTATGCATGTTATTATGCTAACTTCATATCTTTCTATGCAAATAACCTGAATTTAGTCCACAAATAGAAAGAAAATAACATAAGATAAATGAGTATAAGACATACTCAAAGGGTCAAACAATTTGCAAGAACTTCGGTAGCCGGTTAGACTAACTTCAGACGATAGTTTTTTGAGCAATAGACCAGCTTTTGATAATCTATATATTAGATTTTGTTTGCTATTTGTAAGATATGTTTTTGTCAGTGGTAGTTTGTTTAAAGTAGGAACCCCTTTGCTATTTCTGTGAGGGACAACTTTTATAAATAAGCAAAATGATTTTTCAAAAGCTCTATTAAGAATAATTTTTCAGTACACATGGAGAATAACTAACCTATGCATGGACAAGGAACTTCGAGATTCATCTTTGCCTTCAATGGCATGGTAATTCTTGGAGTAGGATCTCTCTACACCCTTAAAAATCTGAGAAAGAATGATTTGTTGCTTATTTCACGAAGAGAATGATTAGGATTCAGTTCAAATCGATGACTATCGAAGACTAGAACTTGTCGATTCAACTTGTACCGAATGATAGGGGTCTTCTCGAGTGTATGCGCATGTGAATTTCACGCAATTTCATTGACCATACAAATTTATCCTCAAATCATAGCTATAAAATTCTTGATGAACTCAGACTTCATTCATGAATCCCCATACTGACATTGAATACCTCGAACATCAATCCCGACTCAAGATCTTGACTCATCACGGTACACTTTATATGACCAAAATAATGGCTTTCGTTGACCAAACCCTTTTCTCAAGTCCAAATCAAGTAAGTTTTGAGACAAAATACTCATCAATAGACATACTGCCTCGTAACTGTTGAAACTATTGTTCTCTCAAGGTGTTGCATTTCAATGGTGGGTTACCCTTCAGTCAGACTTTGGCACTTGATAGTACATTGGTTTAGAGAAGCCAATGGCTCGGTGTTTGAGGATCATAGCACATGGGTCTATCAATCATCTTGATTCCTCATTTCGGTGAAGGTATGTATATGTGTGTGTATATATATATCAAAAATAGATTATCAACCTTCTAATGAATAAAAATCATTCTTGTCGGAGAAACTCATTTCTCCTACCAATCTGACTTAAATGAATCTGAAACTGGTAATTGCTATGATATGTTCTCTACGATGGTCTAACAATATCAAAGTTCTGAATTCTATAATTTATAAATGGAAACGCTCATGCACACTTCTAAAAAAGTGTATGGTGTAATGATAAAAAAATCAGAAATAAAAAGTAATGCCAATCGTTTGGAGTCATCAGCAGATAGTTAAGAATCACACTGCAGAGAAGCTTTACCTGCAACAGGAAGTGCGTGTTTCAATCAAGCACCTCCAGCAGCCAAGAAAATGGGGAATAAGACACCTGGTACAACAAGAGGAAGGATCACCATGATGAGAAATGAAACTGAGAAATAACATATCCATCTATTGCTTTTACATAAGGTTGTCTCACCAATGGATATGTGTGGGCTACTGCATGCTATCAATTACCAAATTCAACTTCAAAAGAATTTCCTAAGACGAAAAACAACTAGCTGTAAATAACTACAATAAAGGAGAAAATAAGGCAACTTTATTTTCCCTATGGTGAATATTTCACTATAAGAAGAATATCCACCATGGATTCTTTCCTTCTGCATCGTAGTTGCGCGTCACAGGAGATTATGAGAAAGTTTTGAGATTCAGTTTCTTTGATTGAATTAATTAATTGCACTAGGTTTTAAGAATAAAAGAAATGGTAAGTATTGTAATACCATGCTTGTTTGTCAATTACTTTGCATGCCTGGAAAACAAAGGCAAGAATATTTTCAGCATAATTAATGTGTTTTTCCCCAAATTCAACATGGTGCGTTTAATGTGGGAAAAGGTGTATTTCAGCTATGGAATTTTTTTGCATATTATTCTTCTCTTCTGTTTCGGGGTGTGCGGGGGGAGGGAAAGCAATGCAACTGCAAGGCACTCTTAACATGATTTTCCAATTATTTCATTCTTGTGTACTTAGGGTTCTTAGTTCCAACAAAAGGACATACATACAATCCTCATCTATGTATTTCTAAACAGATTTTCCATTTTTATGACAATTATCGACATTTAGCTTGAATGGTTTGTAGAGGTATCCTATCAAGTCTTGTCGTCAAATGCCTGCCGAGTCAATTTGGAATTTTCCCATCATTTCTTGCAGTCCGCATGACAACAACAAACCCGGTGAAATCCCACCAAACGGGGTCTGGTTCTTGTAGATCGTATAAAGAGAAACAATTCTTGTCTAAAAACTAAACATATCACTTTCAGATTATTCTCTTCCCTTGCATGTTAGTGTGGAGTGAAACTAGGTCAAAGACCTACTAAGAAACTGATAGATAGAAAAGAAAAACACCACATCGTTGGCTTCCCTAAAGGCAACAAACCTTAATCACCCGTTTTAATGGTGAGTGAATATAGGAGGATCTACAATTTTTCCAATCTTTATAGCACATGAAGATGCTTCTCCTCTTTAGGACAATAAATTAAAGATTTAATTGGGTATAACTATTCATATGCACCTAGTTAAATTCCTTCTTGCAATACCTCCTTTATTAGCTTTGGTTCCTTTATTTACTTCATATGGAATTATATTTAGTTTAAAATATTTGTACTTATCGTTATCACTGTTACTACTACTACTAGAGCTGCAATTGTCATTCTCGTTTATGTTGTTGCTGGAATAAAATTTTGCATCTTGGCTTGTATCTTACTAGAAAGGCCTAGGCAAAAAGAGAGCTTGGAAAAGACTAAATTGTGTGAGCTGATTTATGGATGGAAAAACAGTGACGAGAATCAACAATGAAGAAGATAAAAGAAAGGAGGAAAAAGGAATGGTGAAGGAATCACTCCCGGAACAATAAGGGTAGCCCGGTGCACAAAGCATCCCGCGTTTACTTAGGGTTCGAGGAAGGACTGCATCCCAAGGGTGTCTATAATCCAAGAAGGAAAATATAAACCCGTGGGAGTCTAAACAATCCAAGAAAGAACTAGCTAGCATTGACCGTACGAGTTCCACCAAACCAAGTCAGTTTGGTCCAAATCTTGTATTTGTCTTAAGAAATCTATTTAATATACAAATTATTAATTTAGAATCCACTAGCTTAAAACCCCTAGAATTTCGAACCCATAGAATCCAAACCGGACTCCCCTTCTAAACTTAGCCTCATCTTTACTTTTAAAAAGTTTCACAACCCAACCAATATAAAGTCCATTACCTAATGTTACAAGCCTAAAATTCACGAAAAATTTAAGCTTAGTGAAACTCAGTGTAAAATCTTCTCTTCTCTATATGCTTATTTAGAGTGTGACTTCTAAGTAAAGCTTAACATCTGAAATTAGAGAACAAACACTTAAAAGACCAATCTTCCAAAATCTGCCCATCTCCTAAAGTTTTTCAATGCATGGTACTTCATGGCTTGCATCATTACTATTGTCATTACCACAAGGTAAAGTTCATTGTGTAACTGTTTGTACCTCCGTTACAAATGGAAGTTCCACAGACCACTTTTTTTTTTTTTGCATCAATTACATATATTGACTTGAGATTTGCTTATAGAATATAGATACAAGAGAAAGACAAGCCTTGATTCAAATTTCTGCGAGTAGATAACATTAAACACAAATATGGGAATTCCATCTCATTTGAAAGAATAAAGCATAAAATTGTTTGCTATCAAAGATCCATCTAAATCAATAGAAGAACACATACTTGACAAGGTGACGAATTGCCGACGAACTCTCCTTCTTCCGACACCGTTAGCTGTGTCGATCTGTCGCAGTTAGGATTACGTTGATTTTCCATCTGTCCGCAGGCAGAAATCACATCAAAATATTGTGATGAACGGAATTCTCTTGGATCGAGATGTCGGCGTATTAGATGATGACGGAGATAACAATTAACAAGATTGTGATGAGCGGAATTCTCTTGGATCGAGATGTCGGCGGATAAGACGATGATAGAGATAACAATTAATTAGATTGGCACCAGAAGAGACGGAAGTGACGTTTTTCTTCTTAATTTTCCTGATAAGAAAGGGGGAAGTGACGTCAAGACGTGTGAAATGAGAGGGCCGTATATTTCTACTTTGACGGAAAAAGTTCCAAAAAAAGAAAAGGAAAAAGTATAGTCTACTTCTTGAGGGCGGAACCAAAATGTAGTTTTTTTTACTCAAAATACGCAAATAAGTGTTAAAAAAAAGTTACCAAACTATATATAACGCCACAAAAAGTGGCGTTATACAGTAACGGTAACTGCACCGTTACTNGCCACAAAAAGTGGCGCTATACAGTAACGGTAACTGCACCGTTACTGTATAGCGCCACTTTTTGTGGCGTTATATATAGTAAAACTGACACATCTTACATAGAGCCACTATTAATGGCGCTATACCCCTTATTACCTGACCCCACCAATAATTTTTGGGTTCAATAATTCAAAAGCGTATAAAGCCACTTTTTGTGGCGCTATATACAACAAAAAAAAAACCTCCCCGGCTAGCCATTTCCTATATAAATATCGTAGAATCGANAAGCTCTACTCGACTGTGGGACCACCAATCTTCAACTTTTATGTGCCGGGGGGACCCAAATTTTTTTTTATTTTTAAAATGGGGCAGAATCGGGGGGGACCAAAAGGGAGTAAAATAATGGAGATGAAACGAAGAAGAAGAAGATGGAAGGATTTTTAATAAGGGGTATAGCTCCATTAATAGTGGCGCTATGTAAGATGGGATTTTGGGGTATAGCGCCGTTAATAGTGGCGCTATGTAAGATGTGTCAGTTTTACTATATATAACGCCACAAAAAGTGGCGCTATAAAGTAATGGTGCAGTTACCGTTACTGTATAACGCCACTTTTTGGGCGTTATATATAGTTTGGTAACTTTTTTTAATACTTATTTGCGTATTTTGAGTAAAAAAAAATCACATTTTGGTTCCGGACTCCTACTTCTTCACCGCTCGATATGGTGACAGAGACTGACTAGATTTTTTCTGTTTGTGTACTTCTATTCTAATCAGATAGATATGTAAAGTAGGAGTTCGGAATCAAAGGTGTGGTTGTTTTGAACTCAAACAATCATAATGTACGGGAAAAAATTGGCCACCATAATATGTATAGCGCGGTATTTCACTGTGCAATACCGTAATGGTCGTTTGTCCGTTAAGGACTTAAGGTATAGCGCGGTGAAATACAACGCTCTATTTGAATTTAAATGGGCGAGAAGGTATAACGCCTATATACCGCGCTATAGCTATATAAATAAGCATGTCCTTTCACCTTCCCCACCACACGAACAGAACCTTCCCCCATTGAAAAAACGAAAAACAGTCGGTCCCCTTTTTTTAACCAAAAAAAACTTTGTTGGAGCCTATCGGTCGCATAAAAAGTGTATATTCTCGGTCCCACATCCTAGCTAAAGCGTTATCTCGTAGTGGGTTGCTTGTTTCGGCTCCAAATCATCAAATCTCAAGTTTCCAGGTATTCCGGCTTAGTTTTTGTTAAAACTCATGTATAAAAAATGCCTATTAGTTGTTTTTACTGTGCTCTGTGTTATTTCATGATTGTTTTGCGATTTAATTAGTTTCTTATTTTTTATCCGGATTATACTATTAGTGTGCTAAAAAAATTAGTAAAATAAAGCTATTGTTATTAGTTGTTAAAAAAATATTAGTTAGTTAATTTTTATTGTGGTATATATTTTTTCTTTATTATTTTGTGATTAAATTAATTTATTATTTTTATTCGGTTTAGATTATTTATTTGCTAAAAGACTAGTAAAATAGATAAATTATTAATTTTGGAATAATTAATCTTATTTAGATGTTATTGTTGTACATATATGAATATGTGACTTTAATTCCTGTAGTGGTATGTCGTGCCCGTAATTTTAATGCAGTGCTCGTATTTGTAATGTAGTGTCCTTTTAGCATAGTAAAATGTAATGCCCTTTAACGTAGTATCTTTGTAGTTATTGAAATTAATCATTTAATTATATGTTAAACCTAAAAATATTTGAAAAAAGCTGATAGTTAAAACAAAAACTCTCTCGAATTCTAATCAACAAATGTAAGAAAATAACATTAGAAAACAACAATATTTGTCAAACTAAGTATTGTTATATGAATATTTAATAATTAAATCCTATATAGTTATGAAAATTAATTATTTAATTTTATTATAGTAAAAAATAGGTGAGTAACAAACAAACCTATAAAATAATAAACTAACATTTTAAATAATAAAAATAATATATAAAATAATAAACTAACATATAAAATAATAAACAAACATATTAAATAATAAACAAACATATAAAAAAGTGAACTAACTTATAAATATTAAAGTAACATATAAAATAACAAACTAACATATATAATATAAAATTATAATATAGAAAATGTATCAACCTGATGAACAATTTAGTAAAAATATTGAATAAATTTTAATATTAAAAATATTACAATATATTTAAATATGTTAAGCAATGATAAAGAAAAATACTTTAATTACTATTGTTCAATTTACAGTAGTCGTCACGGAGGTTCCGCATGTGCATCCCGGACCTGTCTCGCTAGAGCTACTGTTGCTATAAGCCGAGCATATGTCTTCGTACATATGGGAGGGGCAGTGTTTGGCACAGACATTCCACGCTAAACGGGTAGACGATATATGGGACTTTCTTAGAGCCCACTCATATAGTCAGACCCCTTCAGGATACGGGTTTCTACAGGATTATTGAGATCGGGCGGTTGTAGTTGGACTGGTCATTTATCACGGCTTTGATAGAGCGGTGGTGACCGGAGACGCACACATTTCCTTTACCCATTGGCGAGGCTATTATCACGCTTCAAGACGTGGAGGTTCTATATAGGCTGCCGGTTGATGGACATCTTGTAGCTTACCCGCATGCTCTCAAAGATTTTACGGGATTGCAGTACCTGGAAATGTTGCAGCGACTCATCGGGTTCTAGCCAGCGGAGGAGGCAGCATTGAGTGGGGCCAATCATTTGCAGTTGCCGCCCGTTCGGCTGCATCTGGAAGCGATTGATGCGGACATTATGGATGATACACTGGATCTTCATATCAACCGGTATACGAGATTGGTGTTGCTGCTTATGTTTGGTGGGGTATTGTTCCCGAACACTTCGGGAAACCTAGTCAGCTTGAGATTTCTTCATCATCTTGAGCGGCTAGATGATTTACCTGGTTACAACTAAGGGGCAGCTGTTCTAGGTTACTTGTATAGGCATATGTGATGGGCGAGCATGGGCACCGAGCGAGATGTTGCCGGATTTTTGCCGTTGCTGTAGGTAAAAGCATAGTCAATTATTTTCATGATTATAACATATATAGTAAAAATATACCTTAAATTTTATGTCCACATTGTATATTAGGTTTGGGACTGGGAGCAGTTCCTACAGTTGCAGCCACCTCTACCACCCATCGCTCCGGATGCACTACCTCCACCGTTTCTCCCTTTAGCTAGGAGGTGGGTTTATAGGCAAGGCTACAGACGCGAAGTCGGGGCTCGACATAATCTCCCCTATTGCAGGGATTTGTTGGATTTCTGGAGGGCGCGCAAGTACATGTATACTTAAGTTTACTTGGCCTGACATTATCTTTATTGCGTTTACTCACGATTCCTGTTTTTACTTAATGGTTCATATGGAGGTCATATAATGACGAGCTAATAGCTGATTTGCCCGATTATTGCTCGAGCGACAGACTTATGTGGAGCTCTTCCGTCCCATTGATGTGTCTCGATATTGTCGAGCATCATGCCACCGAGTGAGTCTTTCGCCAGTTTGGTCGACCCCAACTTGTACCTACTCCGCCCGTTTGGCTTAGGACACATTACCAGCGGGATGATTATTCCAGGGTTGACCAGACATACGTAGCCTGACTAGAGGCACATATTGATATTTGGGACCGTCGGCATGACCTAATTCCGTCACCCCCTCCACCTGAGCGTACACATGGTGAGCATGAGTATATGGGCTGGAACCATATCATTACTCGACTTTTCTTTGGGAATCCTGTTTATCGCGCCAGTGGTCGGTACATTCCATATGCCGGGAGGCATGAGGCACTAGTATGTTATCTATAATTACTTATAACGTTAACCAAGCATTCCGTAATTAATATTTTACATGTTGTGTAGGCTATTGGCTTACATCTTTTCTACCAGTTGGGGCTGCAAATCCAACAGCATACCGGCGAGGGAGCGACAACTTTGCACGAGTATGACAGCCAGGTTATAATTCTGGCTTCTCGGACATTGAGGCGAGCCTGAGATAACGAGTGTTTAGGAAACGAGGATGATTATCTACCTCCAGAGCATTAACATTGTGGGCCAGTAGTAGATCCTGAACGTGGTCGACGTGGCATGCATTCCTAGAGAGGAAGAGGTATCCCGCGAGGTCGTGGGGGTCGGCGAGGATGTGGTCCCCAGCAAGGGGGTGTTGAGCCACCTGTTGAGGATTTTGGAGTTGATCATCCAGGTGACCACCTTGAGCCAGACGATGGTCCTCATGATATGTCGTCATTCAGCCTTCAGTTGATGCTAGGGACTTCGCAGGTGACCCAGTCAACTCCATTGTTGATCGCGGGCATGACCATTATGCGACAGAATGGGATCAGTATTTTCCTTGTCCCCTAGAGCCATCGACGACTGTTGATGATCGTTCGACACGAGATGTGCATAGTGGGCGCCGACTGAGTTATGAGCCATCATCGAGGGATGTTGAGGATCTTTTATAGGTGCAGATTTGTTTGTGTTACTATTATTTATATTTGTTTTTATCTCATTGATTAGTCATCAATATCTAAAACGTTTTTATTTTTTTAAAGGCATCATCCTCGCCCGTCATGGAGGCCACTTTGTACGATACTAACAGGCCCAAGATGGATGATTATATTCAGGATCCCACTGAGTTCATGGTAAGACCATTAAATTTTTTTAGCTAACACGTACATTAGTAATATATATTTCATATACTAAAATATCTTATTATTCTGTAGGTTACTGCTGGACCGATGACCCCTTC